GAAGCAAACTAATGCCTTAACTCACTCAAATACAGTCGTTTACTTATTTGGGTGAAACGAATGTGCGTAGAGTTTTAAAGGATGCGGCTAGTCTCACCTTGATTCTGGCGCATTGCTTATCGTTTTATAGATCTATTCTCATCCACCATCTTTGTTTGTGACGTAAAGAGTGTAAGAGTCACGTTTCTGAATCGGACACTCTGAGTGGATGCAGTCACAGCCAATCGGAGTCTGATTCAGAGGGTTGCCTGTCAGTTCCGTTGCCTGTCAGTTCCATTGCTATGGTTCCGTTGTTAAGTGTACTGAAACGAGAGCCGGTATAATTCCAAAACAATATAAAAATTGGAATACGCTATTTTAGTGTCTTAAAGGTAGACTGAGGTATGAAGGGTTAACGTTACATCTTAGGATAATTTTTAGTCATGTTCTGTATACATACTAACATATACGGGTATAATTAGTGTGGTTACTCCATGTTTACTAGCTATAACATTAACATTACATCACACATTTTTTTTTTTTTTTTTTAAATCTTTTTTTTTTTTAAGTGAAACATCCGGGGCTTTTCAGAAAATATCTGGGCCTTGAGCCCAAGTAGCCACCCCCTAGTGCCGCCACTGAATTTGATGTTGGACGAAAGCTGGGCCGGCAGAAACAGCCAGTCACAAATGTTTTCAGTCTCAAAGTGGATCTAACAATTTAGTCTATATTGGGTAAATACAAAGCTGCAATTTATTACACAGAATTCGGCTGGCATTATTACTGTAATCACGACGGAAGCTCTTTACACGAGGAACTGGGAGAAAGTAATCAGTTAATCCTAAATTGTGTTTTTCTCTGTGAGCAGCTAAGAACGTCAGATAAGCAGATTCCGGTAAATCCGGTTGTTGTTGCGGATGTTGTTTTGAAGGATTCTAGCAAAACTCATAACATCATGTGACCAGGCTGGGGTTTCAGGGGATCCCTCCTCTCTATAGTGAGGAGGTCATGTTGTTACTGCAGAGCTGGATACATGATCACTGTCAATGCCGGTATACATTTGAGTTCATTATCATCATTATTTATTATTCAATATTTGATCAAACCTTTTTAGTTACTGAAGGTCTCCTTAGATTTATAAATTTCCTTTCGATTTTCAAACTGCAATATATTCATTATTATCCAAAAACAGTGACAAAAAAGAAGATAATATTGTACACTGGATGCAGTTCTCTGGCTATACCAAACACCTTGATTTAGATCATGAAGTGTTTTCCTTGATAAGTTAAAGATGGACTTCAATAACTGTCCTTACTTGACAAAGGAGTTCTTCCCTTAAAGTAAAGCTGTTTTGATTTCATACTCCATACTTTTTTTCCCATGAAAAGACCAACCCCAACAAAGTCTGTCAATACTGTCAGACGTCACTTTTTAAAGGGATGCCTTTTGTTTGCTCGTCAGCACTGCAGGGACTTTTCTTCCCGATAAGAAGGGGTCCCTCCATGGTATATCCAGAGGTGGAAGAAGTACTCAGATATTGTACTTGAGTACAAGTATAAATACCAGAGTGTAGGAATACCATGTTAAAAATAAAAGTACTGCCTTCAAAATGTTACTCAATTCAAGTAAAAGTTCAAAAATATTGGCATCATAATATACTTAAAGTACCACAAGTACTCATTATGCAGATTGGCCCATTTCAGAATAATATATATGATATGTTTTATAATGATTGACCATTAAAGTGTTCTCAAAGCTGGTAAAGGTGCAGCTAGTTTGAATGACTTTGTATACTGCAGGGTAGCTTGTGGATTTACTCCAGGTGGAACTAAAGTCTGATTTAACACTTGATTATATTTCACATCATTAATCCAAGTCTGTAAAGTAACTAAATGTACAAAATAAATGTAGTTGAGTAAAAGTACACAATTTACCTCTGATTTGTAGTGAAGTACAAAGTAGCATAACATGGAGATACTAAAGAAAAGTACAAGTAGCTCAAAATGTTACATAAGTACAGTACTTGAGTAAATGTACTTATTTACTTCCCTCCTCTCTCAAACCGAATGGCAGTACCCAATATGCATCGGGGTATCGGTCGGTGCATTCATAGCTTTTAATAGTTTTTGGTCAACAATGGCGCTTTATGGTACAGAGAAATAAGGATTTTGTTATGTTTTAAATTGCTAGCCTACAACCCTTACCCTACAGTAAAGTTGTACAAGGCTAGTATTAGCTGAGATATTCCACAACAGCTGAACAGTGTTTATCTTTATTGATTTGCCTGCTGAATATTTCAATCAAAGGCCTCAAAATAATGAAGACTGAGGAGAAGCAGGTGGGCCTGGGTGTTATTAATAAATACAAAATACACAAAGCAGCTGAATTAATGTCGATGATGGGAGAAGCAGTTCTTCCTCAAATGAAAGCGGCTTTCATTCATCTCTATCCTTTGTGTTGTTGTAGTGCCATAAACACAGATGCACAAAGCGCTCACACACTCACGCAGATACACACACACACACACACACACACACACACACACACACAGGCTTTTGTTGTGGCCCCCCTATTGTGTAAATGGCGGAGACAAATGAACAAAAATCACAGCTGATTTTCGACAGGTAAGACTGAAGAGGCTGGGGTGGTGTGTCAGTGGGCCACCTGGGAACTGTGTGTGTGTGTGTGTGTGTGTGTGTGTGTGTGTGTGTGTGTGTGTGTGTGTGTGTGTGTGTGTGTGTGTGTGAAGACAGAGAGATTGTAACAATGAATATATGCTCTTTAGCAATGGAGATCAATTTCCACATGGATGCCTAAAAGGATTTGGCAGGAGATTGATATTTAAGTGTGTGTTTCTGTTTGTGTGTATATGACTTGAGTACATTCATTGTGTGCACTTCTGTGTGTATATGTGCCTGTTTTTATGTCTGGGCTTTTATGTGCTTATTTTGTGCGCAGAGATTGAACAGGTGGGTGTGTGGTGTGTGGTCTGTGTCTGTCTGGGTGTGTGCGTGTGTGTGTTTCTGTGATTGTGTGTGCGTGTGTTTGAGGGAGGTCCAATCTCCATCTCTCAGCAAATCAGCAACCCTGAAAATCCAATCTGCCTGGAGAGACAGCAGGCTGTACATCATCTGCCATGGATGGACACTATCAGCGCTCTATCAGTGAACGCCCCCAAACACACACACACACACACACACACACACACTTTATCTTTAGATGACCACATGCATGAATGAACACACACAGT